CACAGATCTTCCAGAGATAGAAGGATCTGCTCCGCCGTACCTCCGCCGTTCCTTCTGGGGGGACTACTGTGGCGGCTATGAAAGTCGTCTTTCCTTGAAGAACTTCTCGCGGCAAGGAGAAGAATAGGGGAGTTTCTAGAAGCCACGAGATATATATATTTTTCTAACTTTGTAACTTTATATTTAAAATATAGTTAGTCGTTATCTTCGTTATATTCGAAATGGTAAGTAAGTAACGTTTTACTAGAAATGGCAAGTAAATAAGAAATAGTAGTTACATTATAATTGGTAAGTATATAACGTTATATTAGAAATGGTAAGTAAGTAACGTCTTGTTAGATATGGTAAGTAAGTAACGTTATATTAGAAATGGTAAGTAAGTAACATTATATTAGAAATGGTAAGTAAGTAACGTTATATAAGACATGATAAGTAAGTAACGTTATGAAATGGTAATTAAGTAACGTTATATTAGAAATTGTAAGTAAATAACGTTATACTAGACATGGTAAGAAAGTAACGTTAATTTAAAGTAAATTGCAGGTAAAACTGAAATATTATATGTTTTCAATAATTCCTCTGATTGAAGAACTATTGAGAAGAACAAGAATGTTTGTATTTTCTAACATGTAAGTTACATGATGTAACCAAATAAATTTACTTTCTCTCATACTTGTGTGTAAAATCCAAACTATAGCTACAAGGTCACAAATTCATATCAGTAGTAATACATAAAATTTACTTTCTCCTCCTGTCTAGTGTCTAGTTCGAAATGAAACAAATCATTATGATTTGAACTCTTTATAAAACTATTGTTTGAAGGAAAGCGTTACATCCAATTCTATCAATTCTTCTGGCTTCTCTGGACCTTTTTCATCATGGTATCATGGCAGTGTGATCTTAGGTCAGGTTAATTCATAGATTAATAACAATACAGATAAAACAAAAGATGTTGTCTTTTTTAATAACCCTAAGGCAGACTAGCCCAAAGGGCATGCTGCGCTGAAGGACAAGAAATAGAGAGAGAGCATGCGCGTAAATCCTGTGGGCTTCTCTCTCAGGGTTGTTATTGTGGACTAAAAGACGACATAAAGTATTTTATCTGTATTATTATTAATCTATGGGTTAAATATTGTTGTTACTCCAGAGGGTTCCAAGGGAATTTTCCCCATTTTGAAATTTGAAATTGAATTTAAAACTTTTTATAATTTTGCAAAAAGGCAATGAAATTTTGTTAAATGTTTACTTAAAAGGCTGAACTCTAAGGGATTTTAAAAGTCGCTATCCTTTTAAAGGTGCCATTTTAACCCCGTAATCATGAGTATTATAAAGATTGAGAAATTTTTGGTTGATTTAGGGAATTTGAGAATTAACATTTCTGGGAGTTGGAAACGCTTTCAGTAAAAAAAATCCTAAAATAACTCATTTCAATTGGAGCAACCACATTGTGTTTAACAGGGCAAACTTGATGGCAGCAGAATATGAACCTGAGATCACTTCAATGGAACAATTTCTCAAACAATCAAAAAGATCGGTGAGTGCAAAGTTGAAAAACACAAAAATTTTAAAAACTAATCTATTATTTTAGTTATATGTTATGGTAAATTATGTAACTATGGAGCAATACCACTCTGCTGTTCTAAACGGATTAAAGTAAAACTATTAAATTACTAATTCAAAATTTTTATAAACAATGATTTATTCAGGAAACAAGGGAGGCATTTCATTCGATAGTGAGTATAAATTCTTAAATATTCTTAAATTTTTTAAATTCTGAGATCAAAGCAAATATACATTCGAATCAGGTTAATTAATCGGTCCAGAGAACCTGTTGTCGATTTAATAAATGGTCACCAAAAAAGAAAATTTTTGACTCCCAACAAATCAAAACCAATTTTCATGATAAAAAATTTTTTTTAAATTGAATCAAGATATTCACTTCATTTGGATCAACTTTTAACACCGAATGAGAAAGTTTGTCGCATAAACTATAAAAATATATTTTTTGAAACCTCTTAAATAAACCCCCCAAAAAATTAGATTCTCAAAAAATGAATCAATTCGGATTTAGGATGCCCAACACGGGCAGTCGTAGTACATTTAAATTTCCGAGCCGGGTCAACCTTTCCGTTCCCCGTTTGTACTGTACCTAACTCTATGGACAGGACTAGCCGGTGCACCAAGGTTGACGCGGTCAGACTTTATGCTTCATATAGGTTAAATTTACTTTTACTAAAGGAGGGGGCGAAGTGCGTGCCAAACCACTTGAATGTCACAAATTAGTTTGTTTTATAGCGTGTTTGAAAATGAAAAATAAAACAAGGAAACCATAGTTAATTTTTTCAAGCAGAAACGATCGTTTTTTGTAAAAACAATTGTAAAATGAATTGAGTTTTAGCCACAAACTCTGGTTTTATTATTCATATATTTTTGCAACTTTAAACCCTAGATATTTCAAAGTATAAATTCAGTCAGAATATATAATATAAGTTTGAATTATCAAAAGTTTAGATCGTCAGGTTTCAAAGATATAGGAATTTTAAAAAATTTGAGTTTTTGGCTAAGAGCCTTAGACTCAATTATACTTTTTCAAAAAACGGTAGTTTTCTACTAAACGGTAGTTTTTCTATAACTAAACGGTAGTTTTTATACTAAACGGTAGTTTTTCTACTAAATGGTAGTTTTTCTACTAAACGGTAGTTTTTGTACTAAAAGGTAGTTTTTCTACTAAAAACCAACTAAAATTCTGTTAGTTCAAACATAATTATTTTCAAAGGAATAAATGATTAACTTATTTTTTCAAAAATAATTTTTATAATTTTTTTTTAAGTACCGAGACTGCAAATTCTATTACTGACAATGGGGGTTGTGTTGTGGTTGATGTGAATAATATGAGACATACAATAACTCAACAACAGCTTGTTAATGGAAAGGTAAGTAAGGTGGTTGTGTTGTAGTTGTGATGTAAAGAACATGAGACATACAATAACACAACAACAGCTAGTCAATGGAAAGGTAAGTAAGGTGGTTGTGTTGTAGTATAGATGTAAACAATATGAGACATACAATAACACAACAACACCTGGTCATTGGAAAGGTAAGTAAGGTGGTTGTGTTGTGGTTGATGTGAATAATATGAGACATACAATAACTCAACAACAGCTTGTCAATAGAAAGGTAAGTAAGGTGGTTGTATTGTAGTATAGATGTAAACAATATGAGACATACAATAACACAACAACAGCTGGTCAATGGAAAGGTAAGTAAGGTGGTTGTGTTGTAGTATAGATGTAAATAATATGAGACATACAATAACTCAACAACAGCTGGTCAATGGAAAGGTAAGTAAGGTGGTTGTGTTGTAGTTGATGTAAACAATATGAGACATACAATAACGCAATTGTTGATAAAACAAATGAATTAACCTTACTCCTTCAGAACTAAGTAATTTCTTTCCCTTCCAGAAAAATCCAAATTTGTTCTTTACTTTGTCATGACCTTCTGTGTACAATGCCAATGAAGCATCACAGTACATTCATTATCAGTACATTCATTATCATCTTACAATGTACATGTTAATTTGGTTTGATACTTGTGATGCCAAATAGATTAGAAGTTATTTGAGCTGATTGCAGATAAATAATTAAGTTAAGAATCTTTTTTTTGTAACATGAAACGATCATATTTGTTTTCTAGTCGTCTTTGCAGTCTTATTCTTTGTGGGTGACTCTGTACTTCTAGATAACTGTATCCTTGTCTACGGATAATGGGAATGGAATCATTGTACCAAAAGTAGTCTTGGGTTGGATGTTGCAAAGAGATGGAGAACATATTGAAACCATTCAGAGGTTTGTCACCCGACTCTGGGATTCAGGTATTACATTTAGTGGCCCTCCATCAAGGATAAATTAGATATCAATCATTATAAATTTGAAAACTGGCAATTTTCAAGGGTGGTTTCCCCCTCAATCGACATGCGCATTTAAAGCTAGAAAAACGAAAATATCATTTACACAATCATCAGAAAAAGGTTTCAATAGTACCGTTGTGAATTGTGCATTGGCACTCTTCATTGAGATCTCTTTAAGGTCTGATGATCCACATAGATAGAATACATTTTGGAAGAGCTCTTAAAATAAGTGAAGAAGAGTCTGAACCTGAACCCCTGTATATGGAGAGCTTCTATCTATGTTTTATCATTTACTCTGGAGGGTTAGTAATTGGTGGATTTGTATTTTTGTATGAGATTTGCAGTGACAAGAATAAGTCTAATATGGTGACAGAAATAAAAAATACTAATGTAAATAAATCAGAATGAAACTGTCAAACAAAAATTTTATTTAATAAAAGATTCTAAAAATGTTATTGTTTAAGTTATGAAAGAGAAAGTGAATTTTTTTAAAAAATTTAAGAGTTTATTTTGAAAAGAAAACGTTATTATGTTGGACTATCCTAAACACTTTTTTACTAATCAATTTTCTTTATTTCTGGTTTTAAAATGGCCAAAGATAGACAAATGCACAAGAGTTGCTTCCAAAAATTATTTTCTTTTAATAATTTTTGAAGCAAATAAATGCGATTAAATGGACTTTAAAGGATAAATAATAAGGGGTATAGGCTGAAACCTGAGAATCTCAGGAGCTGATTGAGACCCATAAGAGTTCAATCTGTAGGTGTAAGATTTTGTATAAGATTTGTAATATTATACAGACGACATTCAACGAATATGCAACCAATCTGAAAACGACGATATCCCAGAGGAGCCTGAGAAACGCCCGGACCATGTTTCCAGCACCCCAACCAATGGCAGTGCAATGTTATTGTCATGAGCTTCCCGTCTGTATCATGTGACCATTATACTGCACTGTCATTGGAGAGAGTTCTGGTCACATGATACGGACGTATATCTTACTTATAAACATTTTGGTATAATTTTGACACAGCTTTATGTCAATTTCTCAAGACAGGAACATCAGATAGATTTCTTATAGGTATCGTTCAAGTCCTGAGATTCCAAGGTTTCAGCCTATACCCACCCCCTTCATTTTTCCTTTACAGTCCCTTTGATGATGAACTATCCTTAATTATTGATGTTTTAATATTCATGGAAAATATACTGTGCTTGTCTTTTTGTAACCGATAAACGTACGTATAAACGGCGAAACTGATGGGGCCCAATATTTTTGTGGGAACTCACATGATCCCAGCTGGAAGGTGAGCAGGTGGTTAGAATTAAAAAATTTGTCTTAAAATCCGCGAGATAAAATCGATAAAAAGCAACAGTTAAAAGTTATAATCGAAAATGAGCGCGAAGTGCCCTTGAAGCCTAGTTTGATAGATCAAAAATTTAAAAATTAATAAATTTCCAAATTGTTTATTCTTTTAAATAAATACAAATAAATAAAAAACTACAATTTCTAATGAACTTGATGTTATCTTTAAACATTTTTCCGTTAATGTCCCAGGCCACCATAACTTTTCCCTTGATCATACTTGACATCAGCTACATATCCACTGTAATCATCAGCAACATGGTAGGTTACAATCTGTCTTCGACCATCAGGAAGATCCACATAGTAGGAACCCTGTAATACAATAATCATCATTAAATTAGCAATTAATGATAATATATTGATATTTACTCTTCAAGACAAAAGTTGACCCTTTAGCCATGCTACCTTAGTAGAGTATCCATCCCTATCCTCTTCATGTCCAAAGTTAACTGGTCCTGAGTATCCACCATATCCATGCTACCTTAGTTGACTATCCATCCCTATCCTTTTCATGTCCAAAGTTAACTGGTCCTGAGTATCCACTATATCCATGCTACCTTAGTAGAGTATCCATCCCTATCCTCTTCATGTCCAAAGTTAACTGGTCCTAAGTATCCACCATATCCATGCTACCTAAGTAGAGTATCCATCCCTATCCTCTTCATGTCCAAAGTTAACTGGTCCTAAGTATCCACTATATCCATGCTTACCTTAGTAGAGTATCCATCCCTATCCTCTTCATGTCCGAAGTTAACTGGTCCTGAGTATCCACTATATCCATGCTTACCTTAGTAGAGTATCCATCCCTATCCTCTTCATGTTCAAAGTTAACTGGTCCTAAGTATCCACTATATCCATGCTTACCTTAGTAGAGTATCCATCCCTATCCTCTTCATGTTCAACGTTAACTGGTCCTGAGTATCCACTATATCCATGCTTACCTTAGTAGAGTATCCATCCCTATCCTCTTCATGTCCAAAGTTGACTGGTCCTGAATATCCACTATATCCATGCTTACCTTAGTAGAGTATCCATCCCTATCCTCTTCATGTCCAAAGTTAACTGGTCCTGAGTAACCACCATAACCATGTTCACCACCAGGTGCGTTCACGCCATACTGAAAATATTACAAAATAGTTTAAGGTTTAAAAATATTTGATTGATTTTTAAAATATTTAATTAAAGAAAAGTAAAGGACCTTGTAAGCATAATGAGGAACTGTATTCTCATACTTTTGGTGTCCATACCCTCCTCCATGTCCCCCATGACCACCTCCATTACCACCTCCAATACCGCCTCCACCTACTCCAATACTGCCTCCAGAATGTCCTCCGAAACCTCCATGATCAGCTAGAGCAGAGGCTGCAAGGCAGATAATAGTTGGAAGAAACTTCATTGCTACAAGGAAACTAAACTGTACTGCAGATATAATTGTACCGTACTGCACACTACTAAATGTTGTAGGATGAAGAGAGCTGAGAGTACTGAGGATTAAACACAATGTTAGACCTTTATATATTCAATATTTGACATTATTGGTGACTTTTATAAATGTATGGCAAGTGCACACCTGCAAATATCATACTCTAAGCTGCTCAGCAGTGCTTGACTCTAGGAAATTTATATCTTTATCATTTTAAAATTAAGGACAGTTCCTTTCTAAGGAATTATGCAGTAGCTAAATATAATTTATGTCATGCAACATTACAAGAATGACTTTGTGAGCTTATAGCTCTTCTAGTTTTGATTTTATGCAAAAATATTGGAAGAAAAAATAAAAATAAAAAAATTGTATTCTTCTTGAAAGCATTTAAGATTCAATCTTAAATTCAAATTTAAAATTTAATTGTTGAAAAGTTTTTTTTTTCAGTTTTTATCATTTGTGTTTTCAAGACTCTTGAACTGCTTAGAACTATGCATATAAGTGCACATGATGATATGACCTTAAAACCTGCACATTCCTCATATAATTGAATAGTTTAGTTCAGAGAATTTATCCTGTAAAACAGGGAACTCATTTTTTTTTTACATAATTTTAATCTTGAAAATAATTTATTTTGAACATTATTATGGTTTAAAACATGAGGATATAAAAGAAAATGTATCTTATCTTTTTGCTACAGTGAAACCCTAAATAACGAATACATCGGAAGAATTCATCAAATGTCGTATTCTTCACTTTCTGATGAATGTTGCAGATATTTAGTTTTTTAATTGAATGATTATATGGAACTCTTTAAAACTGTTCCCGCATATTCATGTCTATTTATTTATTTTCGCAAATACTGAAATTTACGTAATTTAGTTTAAAACTCATTGGAAAATTGTCAAGATGACATTTGATAAATTCTTTCGATGTATTCGTTATTAAGGGTTTCACTGTATATGAAAACAGTGAACATAAAAACCAGTACGCGGAAAAATATTTTTTTTTACAGAATATATTTATTTTAATGGTAATATCACAACATGGACACTTTATCCACATTTGCCATATTAAGACTTGGGGGGGGGGGGTCTGAATCTGTGTCTATATAAACAGGGGGGGGGAGCATTCCACGGCCCCCCTACTCTTTAAAAAGGCATTATTGGAGTTGCAATTTACAAATAGCTAAAAGAGTTTTAAACAAATTTAAAAAATTAAATTTTTGTTTATGACTAATACTAACATGATGTACAAGTTTTTATATTAATTTCTCAAGGGTTTTTTAAAATTAGTTTTAGATCTGTACCTTGTGGAGCAAAAAAGGGTAATGTGAAACTTAAACTAAATTTCAAAATTTTACTGACAAATTGGACATTTTAACATTTGACTGGCAAATTAAAGAAATTTTAAAAATAGAAATTATTTTGTGGCAACATATTTACCAAAAAAATGTGGGTTTTATCCATTCAATCCTATAAAGGATTTAGACAAACTAACAACAATATATGGAATTTTTTAACATAATTTAAAAAAACAAGATTTTAAATATATATTTTATTTCTGAACTCTCAAAAATATTCGATCTCTCATTTATATTTGAAAATGTTTTAAATCTACTGTTTGGCAAATTTTGACATTTTTAGTTGGTCCCAATTTAATTTTTCATGGTAAGTAATTTAGGTTGAGTTAGTGCAGTGAGTTAGTGTTAAATGCAAACTTAAACTTTTATGAATTTAATGATACAGAGCCAGCTGCACGAATTCTTTAAGTGGAGTCGGAAACAATAATACTAATAATTATTATATATATAGTAAATGCCCTACCCCATGAAATCCTTTTAGATCAATACCAATCCAGGTTTAACCATTCGTATCCTTAGGTTTATCTTTCTTACAAGATACAACTCAATCAAGAACTCCAGGTTGTTCAATAATACTTTAGTATCAATATCAATCCGGATACAACTTTATATGTATTCTCAGGTATCTGTCTTACAAGATACAACTTAATCGCAAACTCCAGGTCGCTCAATAATCTCAGATTTTTGTCAAAATTTCTCTAGGCGTGTTCAGGTTTATGAATATGAGGATTGCTACGATATTTATTACATATATATCAGAAAAGAGCTTTATCATGAAGTTTATATCAATAATAATGACGGTGAAGATAATAATTATAATTTAGAGTTAGAGTATTTATTTTCAAACACAAAATACAAAATAATATTGCATGATGGTTCAGATGTGATAATAATAACAATAGTAAACTAATTCAATGGTTCTTTTTTATTACAAAAATTAAATTTCTCTGAATTTTCTTATCTTTTGTTCAACATTTGTTTTTCCTGAACGCCTCTTTTATTAAAAATGTCTGTGTTTGTAAACAAAAACAAGCCTTCTCAGAAAGAAACTGAAATAAACGAAAATGTGTTTATAAATGAAAGGTTGATGCATTTTAACATGATATAATTATTTACAAAACACCAGCACCACTAACCAGTAACCATTCAACTATAGAGTATGAAATTTGCAGGTGTGCACTTGCCATACATTTATAAAAGTCACCTATAATGTCAAATATTGAATATATAAAGGTCTAACATTGTTTTTAATCCTCAGTACTCTCAGCTCTCTTCATCCTACAACATTTAGTAGTGTGCAGTACAGTACAATTATATCTGCAGTACAGTTTAGTTTCCTTGTAGCAATGAAGTTTCTTCCAACTATTATCTGCCTTGCAGCCTCTGCTCTAGCTGATCATGGAGGTTTCGGAGGACATTCTGGAGGCAGTATTGGAGTAGGTGGAGGTGGTATTGGAGGTGGTCATGGAGGTGGTCATGGGGGACATGGAGGAGGGTATGGACACCAACAGTATGAGAATACAGTTCCTCATTATGCTTACAAGGTCCTTTACTTTTCTTTAATTAAATATTTTTAAAATCAATCAAATATTTTTAAACCTTAAACTATTTTGTAATATTTTCAGTATGGCGTGAACGCACCTGGTGGTGAACATGGTTATGGTGGTTACTCAGGACCAGTCAACTTTGGACATGAAGAGGATAGGGATGGATAATCTACTAAGGTAAGCATGGATATAGTGGATATTCAGGACCAGTTAACTTTGGACATGAAGAGGATAGGGATGGATACTCTACTAAGGTAAGCATGGATATAGTGGATACTTAGGACCAGTTAACTTCGGACATGAAAAGGATAGGGATGGATACTGTACTAAGGTAAGCATGGATATAGTGGATACTTAGGACCAGTTAACTTTGGACATGAAGAGGATAGGGATGGATACTCTACTAAGGTAGCATGGCTAAAGTGTCAACTTTTGTCTTGAAGAGTAAATATCAATATATTATCATTAATTGCTAATTTAATGATGATTATTGTATTACAGGGTTCCTACTATGTGGATCTTCCTGATGGTCGAAGACAGATTGTAACCTACCATGTTGCTGATGATTACAGTGGATATGTAGCTGATGTCAAGTATGATCAAGGGAAAAGTTATGGTGGCCTGGGACATTAACTCACATATTTGTAAAGATCAAATTCATCATTTGAAGATTGTTTTGACTTAAAAAAACTAATCTATTTTGTAATTTAAGAAAAATAAGTTCTGTCATAGAAAAGGAATAATTATTGTTAATTTATTAATATTTTTGTCTTAATAAACAATTTAAAAAATTACAATCTACATTGGGTAGAACTTACAGAGAATAGATGAATATAGAGGTACACATTTTTAGTTGAAAGGTCAATGTATTAACTTAACTAGCATAGAACTTAATAAGCAGTAAAAATGGTTGAAACTAGGCTAATTAAAATGACAGATAGGACATTAGATGATGTCTTTTCAAGATTTCTGTGTGTTTTGTTCACAATAACCAAAAAAAGAAGTCCAAGTTACGCGTATAGTCGGCGTAGAACAAAACATAGAGAGAGCCTGTGTAACGCCATTGGCTTCTGCATCAGGGTTATTGTGAACGTAACACACACAAATCTTTAAAAAAGGACATCTTGTGTCCTATCTGTTATTTTAATTAATCCGTGGTTCTGTTCATTATCAAAATAGTCGATGTCGCATGTTATGTTCAACGATGTCCGTCTTATCGATTTATGTTAAATCTGCAGAAAATACAATTGCTTATCAATAAACATTTTCATCCCACATCATAAATTTAAAAATATGATCAACTTTCTTAAACGAAATTATAAACACTTTGGAAAACTTTTTGATCTAAGTTTAATTTGCAGGTCATGCTTCTTAAATTTACTAACTTAAAATTGTAATCCTAATGTTGTGCTTAAGTTTGAAGCTGTCAGAAAATAAATTGGAAAAGGTTATTATGAACATGTTTTGAAATAAGAGTAACCTAGCGGTGAAAAACTAAACTAAGCATGCTGATCTTGTTTACAGTGAACAGTGCGCGCACACACACATGCTTAGCTACCTGTATCACCTCCCATACAGTAATCTACAGAGCGTCCCATATCATATTAGATTATCTCCAATCTTTAACACCTAAATACGCACATTATACTCGAAAAATCTAGCATTTTCTGCAAAAAAAATCTTCTATTAGCCTTATTAAATTTTTTAAAATGATTCATTCTTCTTAAATTTTCTGATTTGTCACCCAAATCGTAATTTAGACCCATTGACGCGGTCTAATTTGATGTGGGACACCCTGTATATAATAAAACAAGTCGTATATAATAAATATATAGGGTCCGTATAGCCGGCAAAACGGCTGGACAGATTGGGCTGTAATTTTGTGTGGACACTCATGGGTGGCCGGGGGGCGTTATGGGCAACGCCGGTTCCTTCAGCTAGTAGATTATAAAAACCATACATTCTATATTATCTATTTCATTGTAAACTTATGTGTTTAAAATATTTACAATGTAACATTGTAGGCCCGGGACCCGGTTGTATCTTTCTATAACGTGCGTTAGATGCACACACAGTGCTGTGCAGTGTGCAACCTAAACTACCTGTAAAACTGCCTAGCTGCTATAACATGCAGGCTATAGACATGTCGCATCATAAAAACAAAAACACGAATTTGTGAGGAAAATTATGCCATTTTTATAAATATCTTTCCCTGCTATAATTTCAATGTTCACAGGCCCCATCCCCCTCTCTCCCCCCCCATAGTCACGATTCCTATTTAAACCATACAAAAATTGATATTGTTTATCAAAATGAATTAATTTTGGGTGCTTTGGATGCCAAGTTAAATTCAAATGATGTGTATGTATACATACACAGACAGCAGGGTGTATTCAATTTTTCTATGCTAGTATCTATTACAACAATCAGAGGCATATACAGGGGGGGGGGGAGCAATTTTGATAACAAACAGAACCATAGATTAATTAAAATAACAGATAGAACACTAGATGTCGTTTTAGCTATGCTACCTTAGTAGAGTATCCATCCCTATTTCCTATCCTCTTCATGTCCAAAGTCTAAATGTATAATGGTTTAACTATCTACAGAAAGGAAATGAGGTCTCGATTATTAAACGTTGTATCATTTATGTACTTAAATAGTGAACGTATTATTTCGAATGATGGGTACTTTCCCAAGAAGGATTTTCCCAAGGGTAAGTGGCAACTTCCCTAATGTGCAGTTTCCTAATCGGCAACTTCCCTAATGTGCAGTCTCCTAATCGGCAACTTCAATAATGTGCAGTTTCCAAACCGGCAACTTCCCTAATGTGCAGTTTCCTAACCACAACTTCCCTAATGTTCAGTTTCCTAACCGGCAACTTTCCTAATGTGCAGTTTCCTAATCGGCAACTTCCCTAATGTGCAATTTCCTAACTGGCAACTTCCCTAATGTGCAGTTTCCTAATCGGCAACTTCCCTAATGTGCAGTTTCCTAATCGGCAACTTCCCTAATGTGCAGTTTCCTAACCGGCAACTTCCCTAATGTGCAGTCTCCTAATCGGCAACTTCCCTAATGTGCAGTTTCCTAACCGGCAACTTCCCTAATGTGCAGTTTCATTGCAGTCTACAGTGCCTCAGAGAGCCTAACTTAACCTTTGGGAAGTTGCTGCTTGGGAAATTGCACATTTGGGAAGTTGCCACTTGGGAAATTGTAACTTGGAAAAATGCCTTTGGGAAAGAACCTAACACCTTACTTCTTACATCATGTCACACTCTTACATTCATGTAATGAGAATGAGATGAAGTTCATGTACGATTCTAACTGATAATTAGATTTTTTTCATCTGTATTCCAACAAATAGAATTATATTTATTATTAATTGGATGTCCAAGCTTTATATTTAAAAAAAATCGGTATTTATAAGTTTCAAATAAATTAATTTATTAATTGTTGCACACAACTAATTTATTTATGCTATTAACATAAATCTATCTCTTTCTAACAGAAAGATTATTTCTATGAAGGAATTGAACACCAGAGTCTCAAATTATAATTTAAAAATCTTTCTTGGCTTCCTGACATTACATTTGATATTAAACACTTTGATATTTGGTTGTTGAAATATCAAACGTTTAAAACATCAAAATATAACCAGAGCTGAAAACTTAGAATGGTGGATATCGAGATCCATGCTTTATCCTCTCTTTTTCTTAATCTCTAGATTAAATAATGATTGTTCTTCTCTTGTTATTAATCTCCAGATTAATTGGCCGTATTTAAAGAATTTGAGCCATGACTTAGATTTAAGTCGCAGCTCAAATATGGTTGGTTCCCCTTAAATGTTTCAATATTTAAGCTGGCGCTCAACTAAAACCAGTTTAGAGGCGGATTTGAGACGCGGCTCAAATTCATTAAATTTAAACCGGGGATTAAGTATTTCGGTCATTCTAAAGTTTTCATCTCAGGTTGTAAATATATATTGGGTTCAGTGAGTTCAGTAAAATGTGTGGAAAAGTAGAATAATGAGAATTGAATAAAATTGCAACAAATACATTTGACATATGCCACTATATAAATGGAGGGTCACTTGAAATTATGCATTCCATTTGAGTTAATTACATCGTAAAATAAAAAATACTTTAAAACCTCACTAAAAAAGTTTCATTATAAAAGCTTTAATCAACTGCCTGCACGCACCTCTGCCCCTTTGTAAAAGTAAATTCAACATATAAGAAGCATAAAGTCTGACCGGTTGCACCAGCTGGATCCTGTTGATTTACTGCTTTGTTAACCCAATGTCCGTGCGGTACAGTACAAACTGGGACTGGAAAGGTTGACTGCAGCTCAGAAATTCAAATGTACTACGGCTGCCTCATGCTTGACCAGTGTAATATATTTCGATATCGTTAATTATAATATTTTATATATTGATCTTATGAAAATATAGATATTTTCTAAGAAACGTTTCCATCTCTTTTTTCACCCCTTGAGCTTACCATGGTAGGAGTTTTGTGTCTTTTGAGTCCACTTCAGATAATTACATTTAAATAATTTGGAAGTGTGTATTATCGAATAGTTTACATAGATAAAAAAGAAAACAATATTTTTTCGAAAAAGGGTTTTTTTTGAGGGGGGCTCAATGTTGCCANAGCCCCAACTCAATTTCTCTAGTACGCTCTGTCTATTAATAATCTGATAAATAGAAAATGTTGTTAATTTTGTCAAGAAGCCGGAACAGTTAAAATTAATTAAAAATTACAGACCATATAGATTTTTTGATATCTCTGATAAAAATAAACAATTTAAGGAAGTTCAAACAATACGAAACCATAACTAAACATATGTACGCTAATACTGTTGGAGTACAATTGTACACAAAATACAAAACATTTTCCGGTTACAGTTTCATTCCGAGTTCGTACTCCTTAACGGTCAGTATAAGGACTGTGAGGAACCGTCAGTACAAAGTCAAACTGCAATTGCATGTGTTATTGTCAGTATTTATTTTATTGTTCCGAAGTTTACTGCAACTCTGAAAAATCAATTAAAATGGTTCAGTTATTTTAAATGATGAATTTGAGTGAGTTTTAGAATCTGCTCTTTTAGTCATGAAGTATAAACAGTTCGATTTGAGCGAGGTAATTTGAATTTTAAAGATTTATAAAAAAAATTTGAGATGTTTCTATAATACCTGATTTTTCTTGGGGTGCATTTTTTTGCAATTTTCTATTTTTTGTTATGTAAATAATGTCAAAATACATGGATAAAATTGGTCATGTGGCGCTCGGACCCTTATAGCTAGTCCTAGCCGCAGCGAATGGACCAGAAATTATTTTAGCCTCACCTGACCCTGAAATAATACAAAATAGATATTTAGGGTCTGTCCTAGTATACGAAGTTCCTTTCTAAGGAATTATG